CATACTAATTTTCTCCCCATGGTTTGTGATAAGCTAAGCTACTTAAAGAAGCTCATCAAATTATTTCATATTGCCATTTGGTTGTGGTATTGTTCACCAAAGAAAATTCTAAGCCTCATTGAACAAATGGGGAGAAGTGAATGGCAATATAAGGACGTCCCTGGGGGTAAAATTTGATGCCCAATTCTATCAGTCACCATTTTCAATGCTTTGTAGAAAGGAAAAGTGTTGACTTTGACTGTTAATTAAGTTGAGAAAAAAAGGATAGACCGGAAATTTGACAACACTGCTTGATCACCTATCGACTTCTGATGAGAATGGATTGTTGTTGCTCATGGCTTTGTCTTGTTCTCACAACAGGCATTGGCTGGTATTTTTGGTTCATTTTTATCAACCATTAAACAAGAAAATTACTACATTGTACCCTAACAAATTTTGCATAACTTTCTAAAAAAACTCTTGTTTTGGACCTGTCAAGAGACCCACATAAGTGTTTCTGGTTAAATTCTTGTTTTCTGTTTTGCTGAGCTTGAAGGTGTCCAATTTTACACCTTCTGTTCAGTGATCAAAGTTAAAATCTTTAGGGGGGGATGGTTGCCTCTCCCAAGCCAGGTAAATGAATCCTTTGGCAGACAGCCAACAATTTAATTTTCACTATTTTAATCATGCAACATACATGTGCTCCAGTATCTCCTGATATTCCTTTCACTGATTTTTTCACAAATGTAAATATTCTCTAAGGTGTACTTTGAATTTTAAGAGTAAATACACAGGTTTTATAAATTGTATGAAGTCTTGCCATATCTCTGCATCAATATTCATGGTGGATGCACCTTTACGCTAGTTCCACAGATATAGATTGCACAAAAGGAAAGTGATCTAAAGACGTCCAGGATGCTCAAATACAAATATTTGATTGAGGGTGTATTTTCGTGGGGAAGGATGAGAGATAACAGTCCTGTGGGAGATTCCTTGTGATTCCTAATTTGTGTTTTGATATCAGTTGAAAGATTGTTTTGAAGTTCTCAGATGGTTGTGTGTTCAAGGCCTCCTCTGGGTGGTACTTAATCATAGGGAAATCAACCCACATCATTATAGGCTGTCTGGAAATTTTTCAAAATTGGAATGTAGAATTTGTCATTTTTACAGAAAAGCAGTTCTGGAACAAGTAAATATTGCAGTAAGAGGGTACATAAGTTTTTAGTCAAGTGTGTAGGTGTTTTGAGAAAAAAATAAGAATTTTCCATCCTTATCTTTTATCAAGCTGATATGTCAGTCTAAGCCATTAATGCAATGTCACTAGACATGAAGACACTGTTATATTACTTTAAGTCTTTTTTTCTTGGCCTGCAAGCAAAGAGTGCTTTCTCCTTTTGATTGTTGCCATTTGGACAATTACAGGGCTCTAATTAAGGTACACAAGTCATGCATCCTGGGGTAAAGTCACAGACATCAATGAGATCTGTGCAGTCTTTTTGCATCAGGCTATTTCTCTTTAGTGGTACTTTATGGAAGAGTTGAATTTATGTGAAAAAATCTTTGCTGTATGAAGTAGCATATCCATTTATGAAATTAATGTACTTTTATGAATGATTCACAATTTGTCTTGGAGGATTTTTTCATGTTTTGAAAGGCAGCATTGATTGATCATTTGTTATATCTGTGTGTAATATTTGAGATTGAGATTCCCTTGTTGCAATATTTAATTGTAATGAACTGTTTCTGGGGTGTTTTTGTAAGCAAAATTTATTACCTCTTACCAGTTTAATTTAAAGTTGCTTTTTGAAGATTTTTTGGTAGTTTTTATTCCTTAAAAATTACTTGACCTCCCTGACAACTTTCCTATGTAAGTGTGTAAGGTGCTTTACATACTATCAGACCCACTTACAAGAATACCATTTATTGATTTCTGTTTCTCCTTCAAGACAACAGTCTGTTAATTTCTTTTAATATGCAGATATGTTGCTGTTGGCAACTGGAACAAGTCAGAGACAAAAATGGAGAGCATGGCAGTGAAAAGTGAAAAATGGCAATTTGATTGGCAATTCCGAAGAAAGAGAAATGGAAGTTTAATGTGCAGTTACTCTAGTTTTAAAAGAGAAAGTGTACCAATGAAAATGGATCACTTGTTCCATAAAACAGACACAAAGACCCTAATGGAAGTGGGCTTGATTTCTGATATATAAGAAGACAAACTCCTCTAAACTTTACAGCCTAAGAGTTACTGTTCCTAGGAATATTAAACAAAATCCCATAAATACTTCTGGAGTGTTATATTTATTACTTTCATATTTCTATGACTGCATGGCTGTGACATTTCTTATTTTACTTGTATTACATTCATACCAGGTAAATGAAGGTTGGATTCAGGAAGTGTAAAGCTACGTGATGTATGTAGTAGGCAATTTAAACCCTAGATTTCCTGTCAGGTCATATATCAAACATGACATATAACAAAATTATGGCAATTTACAACAATAAGTGTTTTTGTGATTAATGAAAGCCTTTTTTGCAGATATCTGTAGAAGCTTCAAGAGAGATATTTGGGAAAACAGGCTGAACTTAATGTTAAGAGACAAAATTTAATATTTTAAACACACATTAAGTACATAAAGCACTTCATGTTGAACTTATCAAAGGATTAGTAATACTTTTAGGTCAATTAACAGACAAATGCCATGAATTAATGTAGACAAAAATAATCTAATGTTTCACCCCCTGAAGCACCCCAGTATCAGGAAAAGGATGAATAAAGCTTGGTAATTCATAGAAAAATACTGTTTACAGCAGGAAAGTACTTTTTATATGAAAGTCTTCTACCATACATCTGGAGTTAACTGTTTTATACAAGTATCTGGTGTTTATCATATTGTGATTCCAAGCTGTTATTGCAATATCACTTCTGGGATCTTCTTTTTATTTGGCAGCGTTATTTTTCCACATGCATGTGTTGATTTTTATCTTAATTTGCCAGTAAATTTTGCATAAATATATTGCTTCAAATTTTTAAGAGCAAAAAAAATTGTTTAAAAAAGGGTTTTAGAATAAAGTATTATAAAGGGTCTGAAAAATGAAAAGTGTTTATCAAAATTTAGAAAAATTAAAATGTACTTTAACATTAGGTTTAAGGAGGTAAAGCATCAGTGCAGATTATAATTTGAACTTAAATACTTTTTCCCCATGCTAGTTATTTGGATTGGCGATGCAACTGCAGTTCAATTTGAACGATTCTGTGGATGATGCAATGTAGGAAGAAAAAGACCTTAAAAGTAACATGCTTCATAGCATCATCACCATGGAACAAAAGTGGCTGGAGTAATTTTCCTAAGCTCTTAAGTTCCTTATATTTTACTGACTGGCTGGCTCTGGCACACCTGTCGTGACTGATAGGGCCAAGCTCAACTTGCAGTCACCTGGGGTTATATTAGGGCCCTGAATTAGTAAGTGAAAACCCCTGTGGTAAGGTGGGATCACATGGGATTAATGGTGGGTTGATGTTACATTTTCACATGCACTGGCCCTGAACATTTATTGTTAATTCTATACCTATAGGACATTCTTTCATTGATCTGGAACTCTAGCTGCTTTATGGTCCTCATGAATACATTTCTTTTGGTATCTCACTTCAAAGAGGACCAGCCCTCATATTAACCTGTATCTGTAAATAGTGAAGCTATTGTAAATATTTGGGTGGTAAAATCTGGCTTTATGAATATTGCCCTTGTATTTGTTTGCTATTTTTTAGTAAGCGAAGTTTTGAAGAGTCTTCTTCTTTTTGTGTTTTTTTTTAAGTGTCTTCAACTCCAAGTTGGTATATGTTTGATAGAATTTTTTTTTAGTTGGTTTTTTAGACTGCTTGGTGTTTTTTCTCATATCAAGGCAACAAAAGGTATAAAATACTGTTTTTCCTATTAGTACATATGTTTCATTCTTTCTATATAGATCCTTTTTTCCTTAGCGTCCTGGTGTAAATATATCAAGATAGACTTTTAACTTTTGATTAGTTAATAAATGTTTCTTCTTGAACAAAACCAGCCAGCAAATTAAATACATCGGAAATGCAGTGCCATAACTTAAATTTTGTATGTAGGAATGTTTTTGTTTTTTTTTTTGCTTTGTAAGCTTGATGTCAGTATATACCCAGGCAGGGCACATTAAAGGGGACAGACTAAATAAAATTCCATTTGTGAATAAATCCCAACAAGAGAAAATAGGATTTGTCACCATGTAATTGCATTATGATTATGTATGAAGTGGTCAAAAATTTCTTTTCAATGTACAATACTAGAAGTAAGAGAAGATTATAACATGTAAGTTTTAGATTTTGGGTGTGAGTACGTTTACTTTTTACTTAGTGAGCAGTCAAGTAAGTTTTACTTATGTCTATTAGGAGTGTTTGTCTTGTATTGTGGAAATTTGTATGTGCACTGGAGCTATGCAAACATGTTCTAAAATATTGTCAAATTCGCCTCTAGTGTTTGGTATTGTTATCTAAACATGGCCACTGTCGTTAAATTACTTGAATCAACTCTCCTGTAATGGTGGTTTTCTTGCAAAGAATGCATTTCTGACATGCAGCTTTTTGGCTTGGGGCTTGTGTGGTTCAAACTTTAAGAGCCACATTTAGCAACACACTGATTGTCGTCTTAAGTGTGTGCATTTTCTCAATCACATAATGTCATTCATGACTTAATTGATGAAGAGAATGAGGCATGTGTGGATGTAAGTTTGTAGGAAAGGGCCTTATGCAAGCAACACAAAATGAATGTTGCACCACACCTTATAGGAAAGGAAATCTTAGTAAAGACTTGGTAGCAGTATACATACTTCTGAGGCACAAAGCAAGAAAAATGGAGAGGAAGGACACTCAGTACATCTGCCTGGATAGATTCAATTTAAAAGACTGAGGGCTGGAAATGGCCATTGCAGAAATATTGATTCTACAGAAAGAGATTACAAGGCATTTTCTAGGAAACTACCAAGCAATGATTTTTACCTACCACTTTAGGCCCAAGGTTTCTTAATGCGCATATTAGTTCAACATCTTCATCAACTTCGGCAGTTACATTGTTTGTAGTGACTAGAAATTCTATTCCATGGCCTCCTTCTCCTTTATATGGAACCTTTCTTCCATCTACTGAAAAAGGAATAAGGAAAAAAATTTGAAATACAGACATTGTTGTTTTACAATTATCCACGTGGAATTCTTGTGCTCTTCTCCAGGCAACTGTAGTTCATATGAATCATTAAAATTGACATTTTAATTCAAAAGGAATTGCAAACAATTTTAAGTATTTTTTCTAAAAATTTTGGCATTTTGATAATATCACTGAATTGAAGAATATGTGAGTAGATATAAACTGACTGCATAATTATTGTAACACATTGGACCACATCTCCCATTTACTGTCTGATTCAATAAGTAATTTAAGTAAAACACTTTGTTCGCGTTATTGTTGTTATAGAATAACTCTATTCATAGATAAATCATAGGTTAAGGATTTGAAGTGTGCATTACAGGGAGTGCTGTCACATTCAGTAATGTGATCATGATATGTCATGAAGTCAGTGACTGATTGATTGACTTTGAAAATGGAGAAGTAGAGGATGGCTCTCAAAGATGAAATGATATTCTTGATGAATTGCATTTGTAAACTGCATTCAAATTTTGTTTCATAAAGAAAAGAAACATACCATGCAGTAAAGAATTTCTTATTTTAGTAGGCCTTGTGCATTTTTAGAAATTTCATCATTCCATGTGTTGTTAGTGGAAGGTGTAAATTCAACAAGGAAATGGGAATAAGAAGCTGAATCTCTAAGAAAAAAAATATTATTTCACATTTTGATAATTTACCACAGCGCATACTCAAATACTTATCTTCACAGATCGACTGAGATATTATATGGAAGAAAAACCAAAGAAGATGCTAAACTAATAGTGCAGGAATATATTTGAAAACCCAACAGTCAAGTAGCAAAATCATCAGTTCTTTAGGTGCATGTCACTCAGTTTGTACAAATTCTTATTCAGTGTCCAGTGTGTGCACGCGTCAGCTAATTAAATCGTGCCCCCAGGGATATATTTAAGTGTCTGCAAATTCCCTGTATTGGGTTAAAGGAGGAAAAGACTTCCCAAGCTTATGTGTCCAATGAAACATGCTAAAAATGCTGTCATTAAAAAAGAACGTGCTTGGTATGAAAGACCTCTATATTGCAGGTGTATTTATACTACAAATTTATAGGAATAATACAGTAATAGAAACTGCTATATTTGGGGAACATAGCATGGTATACTACTTACTCAGGACAAATTGAAAAGCTGAGTGAAAATAGAATATCTAGATATAATGGAGGAAAGGGAAATTGAAAATGAAATATTAAAATTGGTTATTGATCTTAAGGAGATCAGGAACTGTAATTAGAAGGGGTTGGTTCATAGGTGATTGCAATAATATTGATCTTTCTCCTGAGTGAATAAGCATGGGAAGTGTGGAAGGAATATCTGATTTGTCTTACATGAGTGAAGTTGTGAAGAAAAACTTTTCACTTGGCTGTTTTTGCTTGTATTTTATTTAACATTTTCTTTGTGATAAAGAATGTGTGCAATTTTAGGACATATGATTTAGGCACCTGAGCACTAGGTCTGGGAACACAATGAATATTGCCAGTACATAAAAAAATCTAATCTTCTAGGCTAGGCATATTTCTTATATACATATCTGTTTTTTCTATCAGTATTCTACTTCATGATATCTAGGGAAATGAGGAGGTAAACTATTTCAAACCACAAATAAAAGGCTCTTTTTATAGCGTAATGACTTCTTTATTGCAGCTACTTTGTGCAATGTCTTATTGTTGTACCTGTGTATTTAGAAAGTAAAGTGTCAATCCAAAGGTAGACTCTATGGGGTGCCTAATGACTTAGAGGGATTCAAAATGGAAATATTTATGCAAAACATTGACTGTCAATATATAACCTGCTGGTCACAATGTGAATGTATAATGGAAAGGCAACAAAAGATGGCCGTGACCACCCCCTTTAGGGAGGTGTATGAAAAGTGACGGGTTATTAAGTCCAGCTTGCACCCATCAATGCTGGATGGTACATGCATTAGATGCATTTTCTTGCAATAATTATCTTCGATGGTGATGGTAGATTAAAATTTGATGGGGGCCATTTGGAAAGTGGTTTTCATAGAAATATGACATTTATTATTTAGAGATTGTGTATATGGCCTGCCAATCAAGAATGATCTCAAAATGTCACTTTACAAAGATGAACTGGTTAGGAAGAATGTAACAGATTGTATCATCTGCTGCTGATATTTAGCCAAAAGCTTCAGTTTGCAACTATGACAATAAGCTTCACAATTGATTAAGTGGACTATTTCATCAACATACCTTCATGAGTCAGTCTTTGTACATATCTGGCATCTTTGACTTATTTGTCTTATATCTAGAATGTGTGTTCTTGCTAAAATATGGCCCTAGATATTGTAATTGATATATATATATATATATATATATATATATATATAGAGAGAGAGAGAGAGAGTATAAATAGAGTTCATAACTGCTAAGTAAATTGTGATCATTCTCTGTGAAAAATAGAAGATACATTTATATATATGGGCCTTGTTTTGCCAATCTAAGAGCGATAAATCATTGACATGTTTCCCTTATGTGCTACTGTATATATCCCCAAGTTCTTATTTGTGTCTTTACATAATATTGCATTACATCTTTTGTTACTGTATGGTACAGTTGTAAGTGCTCAAAGAGCAGAAGATTGAATATGTTATAGTGTCACTAATCCCATACTTGGTCATTAAAGCCAGTTGTTATTGTGATCAATGTAATGATTTTCCACCACCTTCTTGGGTAAGTGATTATGTCACTGTCATTAGATTTTTACTATACTCTGCTTTTATTGACTTCAAATATTTTCTTTTCATTTGGCAGGCAATATGAGCAATACTAGTACACTAGCAATACTATGAGTAATTGGTTCAAATAATAGTGAATGTACATTAGGACATTAATCAAGTATTATTGTTCATTACTTGTTTGATTGCTGTGTTGTGTAACTAAATAGTAATGTTTGTTCATTTTCCTAAGTATGTTTTGGGATTAAAAGTGCTTCGGCCTGAAAGATTTGGCTTCTTATCATTTTACTTCATGAACAGTGGTCAAAGCAAACAGTCGTAATCCTGTCTAATGTTTGCCAACTTTTATTACCATAGCAAATTATGTTGATTTACATTGTATATATTCCAAAATGTACTGTATTCATGGATGATAATGCTGTGTAAAGAAATCACTTTTAATGTGCTGTAAAGGAGAAATAAATCACGGATCTAATGTGTAAATTATTAGACTCATTTCTGAAATATTAGAGAAAATTTGGGACCACCGTTCCCCTGAGAAATTCATCATGATATATTGTCCTTGGAAAAACAGACTCAGTCATTCATTAATAACCAGATAATTGATGGTGTTAACTGTGGTGCTCTATTGAAAAACTCCCAGTTTTCCTAATCCATTAAGCATGTCTTAAACTCACTGTTTTAATTAGAAGATTGAGGATGTCCTGGCGGGAGACTCAAGCTAGTACCTCAGTCAGCATAAAGTAGTAACTTATAGTGTTGGGCAGACAGTCTTTCTATTAGGCCCATTTTGTGTGGGACAGAACTTGAGCAGTCATTGCAATAATTTGTCTTTGATTAGCTGAGTTTCCTCACAACATCAGCAAAGGAAAGACAAAGTTGATTTTAAAGGGAAAATTTTGAACTTATGCTTCAGACAGCACATGGTCAAGCTGTGATGACTGTTCTAACTTTTACTATTTCACATTGCTGAATTAATTACCAAGTTATTTACCTCTTGATAACTGTTTGGGCAGTTCTCTGTTGTTATATATCTGATTTCAGGGAAGAGAACTCAGACTTGTACGTCACACAGCATGAACCCATGTAATGACTGCTTATACTATTACATAGGACAAGCCTTTCTCTAGTGACATGAGCAAGATGATGGTCAGCATTATGCTTGCTCATGGTGGTCCACTGTTTTGGTAACCCCCCTTTTCAGGTGTTGAGTTACAATGTCATCTTGTTTGAGATATGTTTGGCACTTACATGATGTATTCAGTAATTAGGAAGTATATCTACACTTCGTCATAGGGTGACAGTTAGCCACAACCCATGATCAGTGCAGCTGCACATGCAGCTATCCTGTAGTTACCAGGTGCAGCAATGGAAGATTTTTTTTTTTTTGGTTGTGTTTGACATTTTAGACCTGAGCTTATTTCATTTCAGTTATATCACATGCCAATGACTTTTTTCTCATCTAATTGCTTTTCAAGAAAAAAAATTAAATTAATGTATTTCTCAAAGTACTTTTGCATATGTCTGTATACACTATGCAAAATATCTGAGGTTACAACCTTCATCCAAGGATAATTCCTGGAATTAAAGGAGACAAATTGCTGCCCCCCCAGCCCCTTCTTTTAAAAGGATAATAACTCTTCGTATGAGATCTATATTTCACAGTAAAAACATTGTGAATAACTCATAGAAATATAATATATTCTGTTTTACCACAAAAATGGCAGTTAAAGCTATTATTCTGATATCTGAGCTTGTCTTTAGACCACATGACCTCCATTGATGGCTATACTCTGTTATAATCTCTTAAGAGATTTTAACAAAAAACCAAACTTTTTAGAAAAAAAAAGCAGGGACTAACTTTGAATGTAAATATGGATTCATTAACCATTGGTAAGTATGGAAAAATTGTTGTTTACTCCAGGAAAATTCATTTTTTGGCCGAAACAAGGAGTTATTATCCCTTTAAGCTTAGCTGAAATAATTTTGGACAATCTCTGTGCCCTTCCTTCAGTAACATCACTTCTCAACTAACCACATCCACCCACGTGGTCATGTTACTTCAAAAGCCTGTCATTCAGTAAAGGTATTTTCACCACAGGTGGTCTAAAGGGGCTACAAGTAAAACAATACCTGACAATTCCTTTGTGGAAAGGCAGTGCAAACTTTCAAAATGATGGTAGAATTACTTTTCTTTGTGTCATTAAGTGCTTCTAAAGGTGCATTTCATTCACATACTTCGGAACTGACT